TTGATACACACTAACAAAGAAATTTAAATACAAAAGCACTATATTTGTGCAAAACTAGCCTACCAACTAATCCAAATCAACCAGAAACATAATCAAGTTCATTAATTTCATCAGATTGAAGCTGAAAAGGTAAAAAAAAGCCCTCACCTTGTCCAAGAGTGAACTTGAACGGAGTCCCCCCGTCGCGGCTCGAATCGAACTGAGTCCCGTCCAGCAATGTCCCAGTATAATGAACTAAAACCACGAACACCCCAATCAAATAATCAAACCTAATCCAGAACCAATCCCAAAACATCAAAAATTTCCAAACAAAAAAATGAAAAATAAAACAGAAAAAGAGCGAACCTTCAACTTCGTCGCCATTATTGGGGGTGTCCCAGCCTTCACCTTCCTTGAGGAGCTTCTTCTTCAAGCCCTGGTGGCCGATCTCCTTCTCCTCGCCGACCTTCAGCACCGGCCCCTCATCGGGGAGATCGAAGTCCTCGTTCATCTCCTCCGCCCCCGGCATATCGAAGTCCTCGTCCATTTTCTCGAAAGCGCGAGATGAAAAATTCAACGATTCGAAAGCGTATTACGAGATTCTGGAGATTGAAGAAAATTGGGGAAGAGTGAGAGTGAGGAAGACGAGGCTTTTATAGTGTTATTTTTTCGAGTTCTAGAGGCTTCTACAAGGGATTCGGGCTGCAGCGCGAGGTTTGTGACATGATTTGGTGCTTTGTCGAATTGATGTTTATCGTGCTCCGGGGTTTAACCGACGGCTCAGATTAATGATTCAGCATAATAGACGACATGCCCTTCCATTTATAGAACTTGGTACTTGGTAGGCCCGAATTGTTTCGGTTTGATTCAGTTCGTTTTTTTTTTTTTTTTTTTTTTTTTTTTGAAGCAATGATTCAGTTCGTTTTAATACGGCTTAGACGTCATTTCACAAGAGGTTTATATAAAATAGATGAGAAAATAATATTTATGAGAATACTAATAACATTTTCATTTTTCTTCATGTCACGTGCACTCTATTGGCAATTAAATCTAAAATTAATTATATTAAAATTCCATCATTTTTTTCCTTTTTAAAGAGCATAAAAATGTTAGTTTGTAAATAAAAAAAGTAATTAAATTTTTTATTTTACGTGCTATTACAATATACGTGTCATGAGTAGATTGCTAGTACTATCCAAGATCTATTTAACTTTGGTATTGAGATATTTTCGATTTGAATTGCATATATGAGTTTATGTTTAGAAGAAGAAGAGAAAAAGAAAAAAAGAAAAAAAAGAAAGAGGGAGTAGTAGTAAAATCATTAGTAAAATTTTCAATAAGTGTCATGAGTACTAAAATTAATTAGTGTTGTATTAATTTGATACATAAAAAAACACATAAATTCAAAGTATCTTATAAAATCCCTTGGAGTTAATCCTATCCAAACCTTCTGCACGTCGTTTTCTTTGCGATGTTTGTGTTTTTGTCTTTTCAGGACGGATCAGGATCCTTTCCTAAGCTTAGGAGGCTGAGGTGAGCGAATCATACTTGGCTACTCAAAGATAAATAGAAACTCGTATTTAAAATTCTTAGTGTTTTAATCATAGAGCTTTATGCTTATAATCAGAACCGTTCATACTATGAATCACACTGTAAAGATCATCCATGAAAAAAAAAATTAAAATTAAGATCGTATAGTGAATCTATTGTAGTAAATACATAGACGGTTCGTAATGCTTTTACTAATTCCGTTCATTCGTTTTTAAACAGTTTGATAACTAAATGAGCTTAGTTTTAATTTCTTTTTCTCTTTTTTTTTTGCACAGCGATCTTTATAGAGTGATTTATAATATAAATGGTTCTAATTATAAACACGAAGTTCTATAAATTGACAACGAACAATTTTGAAATTTTTTTAGTAAGAGTTCTTACTCATCTTTGAGTAGTCAAGTATTGTTCAGGTTGAGCCTCATGAGCAAACTCATTGGACTGTTGAAATTTGATCTAACGACTACAATTATTATAACTTTTAGAATGGCTCCTTGTTTGTAGACGTTGGATCAAATTTCAATTGTCCGATGAGTTTGCTCAAAAGGCTCAGCCTTCTAAGCTCAGCAGAGGATCCTGATCCTTTCAGTACATGCAAAGGCTCAGTGGCTCAGTAGAAGCAGTGTGTTTTTACGTGCAGTACATCTTCTGTAGTTTTAAGGACCACTAACAGTGTTCTAAAAATCGGCCTAGGCGTTAGATGGTGAAAGCCTGTCCCGATTTTAGGCAAATCGTTTCGAAAAATCGGTCTGGAGCTAGGCGGCTGCCTAGGCAGTCCTAAGCAGCACTTATGGAAATGGTGTGCCTAATTTACAAATGATGAATTTACTACAAGTTCATCAAATAGTGAAACGAATTGGAGTACTTTTGAGGGGATACAACAAAGAAAAGAAATACGATAGATACAACAACGTTAAATAATTTAGCCTATGTCAATTCAAAGCAAGGATCATGATTCATCTACTTCTAATTTGTGTATTGAACTTTTTTTGGATGTATATAATTTGTGTATTGAACTTTTTTGGATGTATATGCTTTGTGTATTGAACTTTTTGGATGTATATAATTTGTGTATTCTTCTACTTCTATTTTTGCATTTTATTGTTCTTTTATTATCCATACAAGTATAGTTTTTTTTAGGTGTAAATAGACACTTATTTACAAGATATATAATAAATTTACATAAATCTTCATAGGCGGCCTAGGTACCCGCCTAAATGCTAGGTCCCTACCCACCGCCCGACTAACACTTAGCGATTTTTAGGATCTTGACCAATAATACTTAATAGCACTATTTACTATGTTCCGGTTCTGGAAAATCTGTTGATTGTGTTACCATCCGCGCACGTTTGCTTTATTCGGAAGGAAAGCCTCCCCACCAAAATAGGGCAGAGGCCATTGGTATAAATGCACCCCAAATCTATGAGGACAAAGATATTTTGTGTATGTGAAAATTGGGCGTGGCTTCAATGTTATTAGTATTTTAACAGATTTGATTTTTACAATTATTCAGACCTTCTATTTTTAGTCATTCAATCATTCATTTTTTGTGTCATTCAATGATACACAATATTGAAGAAAAATCTGTGACGATGAGAAATGAGAAAATTGAAAAGCAAACCAAGAATAATTGCGCTCATTAGCATGAAATCGTATTGGTCAAACTTGAATGCTTTTCAGTTGTGCAAAGATTTGAACCATACTGTTTGAGTTTACAATTCATTCAACATTCATACCTTTAAAACTTCGTTTGCAAGTTGTAAAAATAATATAAACTCTTTCCGCGGTTTGCACTTTCTAAAACACTTTGCAAATGAAGAAAATGGTTGTTTGAATAAAATTTAAAGGACAAAATCTCGTCTTAATTAATTCGAACTCTCCATGATGAACCGAATCATATCTCGTCTTATTTAATCCGAACTCTTCATTACATGCAGCATACCCATCACAGATCAAAGTAGATCTTTGGACGACAAATTTAAAACAAAGATAAAAGGTCGTACCCAGTGCACAAGACTCCCGCTTTATGCAGGGTCTGGGAGAGGTGAATGTCGGCTAGCCTTACCCCCATTTATGGAGAGGCTGCTCCCAAGTTTCGAACCCGAAACCCACATAACATTCTTTACAAACCCAGAATTAATTAAAGTTTGACAGGAATCGAAGCTATTAAGATCACACGGCGAACGTATTATCTTACTAAAGTACATTCAGTAAAGTATAGAATTCCGTCATAGAAAACACATCGTTAGTATACTGTCGGAAGCAGATTAAAGAGTATTTACAAGCTGAAAAACCAGTAAACTCTCATGGCCAGTGGAAACCACTATCAAATGTGATTATCTGAAATTGGTTACTTAGGCATAGGCTTAGGTATATGGGTTTGCCTGTATCCTGCTATGTATTCCAACTTTAGGAATTCAGGGAACTAAGTTTAGGTCAATAAGTAATTTCTTATTTTAGCGTAAGTCAGTGGTCATTTATTTTCTAGCATAGGTCAACAGAAATTTAGAAAATCATGTATCCCGAGCTCAAAAGATATTGGATCGCCCCTTTCAAAACTAGAATGAAATACAGTTCCATCAGTAGTTTCACCTGCAAAGGTCGAAGACGAAAACTTTTAGTCATTTCAGTCTCTTAAGGCCTTCAAGGGTGGTGTAACCAGATGCCTATTAGGTTTCGCTTCAGGTGGAATATGGGCTCCCTTCTAACCATAACATATAAAAAGACGTATAAGATATGTAAGAATATATTTTTATTTTTTATTTTTTAAAAAGAAGTCAACTAGTGGCAAGTCACGGTTATCCAGTCCTTTTAGGGGCGGGAAGACTCACAAAGGCATTTCAGCCTTCTTCTGGCCACAAGTCTCGCTTCCACATTAACAACGGGTTTTGAACCCAAAACCTCCATTTTTTAGTTTTAAAGAAGCCCCCCCCCCATAAGATGTAGGAATATATTTAAGAATGATGAAATAACAATTGATTTGTCGGGTTTCTTGAGCAACGCTTACATTAAAACCGGGTATGACTCATTTCCAAAGTTCATAAACTGTATTAGAAGATTTTCAGTTCAAGTAATAACCAATAAACAAAGAGTATGCTTTGTTTGGCAATCAAATTTATTTACGATATGCTTATCTGATTTTGCAAGAATATGAGCTTGAGTTCAATTTGTTTTCGTTTAATTTATTCAAATCAACAGCAAATAAAAAAACCACTTGGAATTTATGCGTTTAATTTATTTACAATATGCTTATCTGATTTTGCAAGAATACCCACTGCTGGTGTTCCTCTTCACTTGTAAGTGAGTATTCTTAGGTTCGCCAAAAGCAAATTTGAACAACATTATTGCTAGCTAATTCCTTCCCTTTTAGTGTAGATGATATCGTTTGTTAAAAAAAAAAAAAACCTGCAAATAAAAGGAACGTGTGAGAAGCTATGCAAAAACCATCTCCCTAACAATATGGCAGTGAGATATGAAAGAAAAAAACATGCCGAAGCTTGCACGAACATTAACAATTTTACACCGTATCATGACATGACAAGTGAAGCCACTATTTTTTGGTCAATGTGAAGCCACAGACAATCGACCCTGATTACAAAGTTAAAATAGTACACTAGAATATAAAGGAAAATAACGTTTTGGCTCCACTGGGTTGTGGATACAAGAAACTTCTTGAAGAAAACTAAGAACGAAATCATTGCCCACCTACAGCTCTTCATCTTCAGCTTTTGAATTTTTTCCCAGAATTTCCACCAGCTCGGTCTCGAATATCAGTGTTGCACCACCTACAACGTTCAAATAACAACCTCACTCAATTGATATTCTAATAAATTAGTACTTCTAAACATATGTCTCACGTTAAATGAGGTCTGGACACGCGGGGATTGGAATAATTTATTACCTGGGATGGTTGGTGGAGAACCTTGCTCCCCATAACCTAGTTTTGCAGGTATCTTCAACTTACGCTTCTCACCTACGCAGGTTCCCAACAATCCTTGGTCCCATCCTGCAAAGAAGAAATCCTTTAATATACTACTAAGTTTTCAGTAACAACACATATGCCCACCTCTGGAGATCTTAACCAAAATATTAAGAGTGCAGTTAAACTATATGTCTTGTTCTAGTAACAGGCTACCATGCCGTTACATGCAGCATACCCATCACACTTGACGTTTGCCAAAATTGCATGATGTAGATCTTTGGACGACAAACTTAAGATTGACAACGTGGATAGAAACAAAATGCAATGAGGGCAATCTAGTAAGCATTCCTTACAAATCCAGCATTGGTTAAAAATTGAAAGGAATCCAAGCTATTAAGACCACAAATATAATACAAAAGTACACTCAGTGAAATTTAGAAAATAGTCATAATTAACCCATCATTATTAGACGAAGCAGCTTAGAATACTGACAAGCTGAAAAAAACCATTAAACTCTTATAGCCAGTAGAAACAACTAATGAATGTAAAGTATCTGAAATTGGTTACTTATGCATAGACTTAGATATGTAGAATGATCAAATGCTTCCTATATGAACATTTGTCAAGCTATGGGTTTGCCTATAACCTGCTATGCATTCCAGCAAAAGGTATTTTTACAAGAGTAAGAAAACTACATTCGAATATGGACACGAATTAAATAGCAAACCCCAAACCTTTTATAACTTGACCAGTCCCAAGCTCAAAAGAGATTGGATCGCCTCTTTCAAAACTAGAATCAAATACAGTTCCGTCAGTGAGTTTACCCTGCAAAGGTCAGAGACAAAAAACTATTAGTCTTTTCAGTCTTCATTATAGGATGAGATATTGGCTCAAAAATCAAACTTATGGTAAGACAACTACATGAATGCAGGTAGAGTTTAGATATTGAATGAAAAAGATTGCAAGCAATTAGAAAAAGCTTCTGATGAGCTGAAACTGAAAGTTGAATGTCAGAGTGTACTATGTGACACAAAGTCTGCCAGAACCTAAACATTCTCAAGAGGTATTGCGGAGGATTCGCTGATATCAGTTGGTTATTAGTTTCTCTCAAATTCCTACATCGTATTGAAGGAACTTTTTGGGCCTAACAAGCTCACCACATATAAAAAGACGTACAAGACCAGGAGTAGCGAATACATAGGCAGCATAATTTACATAAGAATAGATCAAAGAAATGATGAAATAACAATTGCCTTGTCAGGTTGCTAAAACAACGCTTCAAATTTCATTAAAACAAGATATTACTCTCATTTTCAGCTCAAGTAATAATGTGGCAATCGAAAAGAATATGAATGCAAAGCTTGACCTTTGTTAAGAAAAACAAAACGTAAGCTATGTTTGGTAATCACATTTATTAACGAAATGCTAATCTATTTTGAGTACAAGAAAGTATTTACACGCATATACCATCACACTATCATGACATCCATCGTACATATCACTGTCAACTGTTCCATAGATTCTACTTACCCGATAGTGTACCCTGACTGTATCACCTTTACGAGCCTTAAATTCACAAGTTTCCGGCTTATACTGCAAAATAAAAGCAAGTTCCAAGTATCAATAATCAATAAAGGTGAATGACGGATGAGCTCCAAGCCTCCAACCAATTCTAGCAAACCCTCTTCGTCCAAAGTTCCATACACGACCAGAGAACAACAAAGAAATAACAACAATTTCTAAAAAAATAAAACCCAAGAGTCAAAAGCACTTCATAGCATAATGATAGCACTTCATAGCCAAATCAAAAGCACTTCATAGCATAATGATAGGAACAACCAACCCTTAAAAGAAAATGGCCCAAATCCAAAAAGCAAGCTGATCAACGAAAATAACGGGGCGCAAAAAATAACCTAAGGGTCTTAAACGAAATATACTATTCAAAAAGATCATAACTTGCATATGTGAGTTAGGCCATTTGGCCGCGCAAATCTCCGTAAATTGGAGTAGTTTAGTATACCGCTTTGTAAAGCAAAGATCATAATTCAATGAATCATAAAGTAAGAAACTTTAAACTCAACCAAGCAGTTGCCCCACGCACAAATCACAACAAATCAATCAGCTCCAGCAAATCATCCACAATTTCGACACAAACATCGTTTCAGATTACAAATTGGACTTGGAAAACAGAAAAATGAAACACAAAACGAAAAGGGTAATTTACCTTGACGCCAATCTGCAACTCTTTGACCTCCTTGTCCCCAAAAACTAGATTCAGAAAAGCAAACAAGTTAGCAAATGGAAATTGAAATTTTTGTCCAAACGGAATCGGAAATTTATATGATTCGGTGAAAGATTTGAGACCTACCGGAGCTGGAAAGGAAAAGGAAGAAGAAGAGGATGGCGACGGCCCTCATTGCAGCAGCAGCGGTGCTAATTATTTGCGATCTACCTCGCTCAGTCGGAGTGTGTCCGAGTGCTTTTTTGGTGGGTCTCGGGTTTTAAATGGGTCTGAAATCCAGGATTTCTATTGGTTATCAATACGTCGATACAATTCTTTTTTGCTTACTTGGCAGTCGATTTTGCACTTTGCTTTGCAACCCATTTTCTTTTTACAATTATTTTCAAGAGAAACAGGTGTAGCTCCCCTCTTCTTTCAAAGCAGCTCCAGCGGGAGCTCTTGCTCGGGGGACAGGGGGTGAACAGGGCCAGAGAGCCCGACGGATTTGGTCTAACGTGTGGTAGCCCGAGGGACAAACCCGGCCAGAGCGACAGGTCTGGCACGGGTTGCCAGCCCGAGAGCCCGAAGGCAACTTGACGCAAACGTCAGCCACGATTTAAAACATGGGTCACCGGAACCCTCGAGGAGAACGCAGGATTATTTGGCAGGGATTCATCCCGATTCCGATTTCGATTTAAAACTCTATTAAAAATTATAATTTAAGCACAAAAATGATGCTAAAATGAAAATGAACAAGATTCTACCACTGTAAGTAACAACCGTGGTCAAGCTTGGTCGGAATTGGTCGCGGAGCTCACCAGATTCTGGAAAAACGAAACAGAAAGCACACAAAATATCAAAATCTGCGGTAAACCCAAAAGTCAATTACCTTGCAGTGCTCTTCTCCAGAAATTTGTAGGAAAAAACGAAATCAAATTTGGAGTTGTAAAACATAAATTTGCAGTGCTCTCTCGTTGCAGTGCAAGGAAGAAATTTCTGAAAGAAAGAAGTGGGAAGGAAGAAGAAAGAAAAATGGTAGAAGTTTCGGGAAGACCAAAAGGAAAAGATAAATTAATAATATAATATTAATTCATACAAAGTAAATAATATAATATTAATTATAAATAATAATAATAATATTTTATTGTCAATTGCCAGGACTATTCAATGTTGGGTAGAGATACAAAATACGATTACTGTTTACTTGGTGGATAGCATAGTGGATAGCTTGGGAAGAGGGCTCCCATGCTGGAACTGCTCTCATGGGTTTTGCCGTTTTGGAATTGGGGCTACCACCATTTTTGAAGATTATTCAACCAATTAAGCATCTCCAATTTCCAATGAAATTGGCAGCAACTTTAATTGCGATATGTCGGTTAGAGTTTCTTTTAAAGAACTTTAACGAAAAGCACCCGGTACTGTTCACTTTAACAAAAAACCACATTTTTACACTAAAAAGTCAATCCTGGTACTATTCACTTTACCCTTTATTTTGTCCTTATCATTAAAACTTAAAGTTTTGAAACCATTTTCATTAGTTTTCCTTTTCTTTTAACTTTCAAATTTGAATTGAGTGGCATTCCACTTAAGATTTAATTTTCTTTCGAGATCAAATTAATCCCTTTGGTTGTCATTGACATGCTATTAACAATAACAAAGGTACATGAACTCTTGGAACTCCAATCATTTCAACATAACTTCATTTGAACTTGTGTTCTTTTAATGTCCCCGAACCTCAAAAGAGATTCCACCATACAACCGATAGTATAGACAGCGCCGATCTTGAGATTTTGGAGGCCATGTGCGAGACTCAAAAGGATGCCCTTGCATGGTCTAAAATATTGGTTGCTCTTTTTTTCTTTATATTTTTTACTGTTTATAAATTGATATAACAAAAAAGAAAATAAATAAAAATTAAGCATGGTATGATGGCTATATACCAATCTGCATCCCTTATATTTTTTGGTTTGAAACTATTTGTTTTTTAATACAAAAAGCATGGTGTGGTGGTTATGTACCTGCCATACACTGTACAAAGATTGAAATTAATACCATTCTTGCTTGTCCAGAGTTTATATTTTAATTTTCGAAATTCTCATTTTAAATCAAATTAACCTAATGGTGATCAATGGGAGGGGGTACTTTAGGGATGTGTGGAAAGCTGCAATATGGAAGATTAAATGGTTTTCAAATAGAATGAAAATTAAATAATCTTTAAATAGTGATCAAAAAATAAATAATTAAAGATTATATCTTCAAACTTTTAAGAATTTTAATTTATTATGATTTTCCTAATTATAAATTTATCAGCAAAAGTTATCTTTTGTGATGAAAGAAATTATCTACATATATTTAAAACAAGAAAAAAAATATAAAATAAAAAATGGTGTAGCTAAAATGTGCCAGAAATGCCAAAATAAAAAAGTGCCTGAATGATCGAAAAGAAATCATAATTAAAAGGCTAAATAGCCAAAATGGTTATTGAGATTTGCATTGTGAAATCTCGTTCCTGGATTTCATTGTTATAATCTACGTATTTGTATTATTGAGATTTTATATTATTTTTCGAGAATTTATATGAATTTATTTGAATTTAGATTTCAATTAAACTAGTTACGAAGAGTGAAGTTTGGAAAATTATTATTTACTCGTTGACCTTTCGAGGTCACAAGTAACGTTTTTGAATGGATCTCGAAACCACGAACGTATAGGTGAAAGCTGTTTGCAAGTCCGGATTATTACAGTATAATTACAGACGTTTGAAATCGTTTTACTAAACTATAGGTTATAAATTAATTAAAACTCTCATCATGTGGGAATGGTAACCAATCAAAGTTTAGGACCAATTAGATTAGTTGTTGATGGACCATTCCAAAAAAAAAAAAAAGTAAGGGACCAATTAGAAAGGAAGGAGGTTTTTTAAAAGAAAAAAAAAAGGAAAAAAAAATTGGCATTGATAAGAGTTTCCCTCCTTTGTGAGAGCCCTTCTCTCTAAGTAAGGGTTATTCTCAGTGCTTATCTGAGGGTTTCGATTTTGTGCAGCTTTGGGGGCGCCTGATGCGAAAATTAACTTAACACACAAATTTAATCCTCTTTTGACAATTGTAGTATAAGTATAAGTAGGGATCGTTCTAGACCGGGGATTAGGAGGGCTTGCTAATAACCTCTAAACTAACTCAAAAACATAAAACTAAATTGAAAAACACTTAACAGGACTCACAAGACTCAAAGCAAACTTAAAATACTCAAAACAGCTTAAAACAACTAAATAAACTTAAACTAGACAATAGGAATGACTTTGGACGAAAATTGATTTTTACTTGAATCAAAACATTTAAAAACACAAATTAAAACAGATTCTAACTAATTAGACATACTAAAGTAAAGGGGGATTCAGTTTTGGATGAAGTTGAAACAAACAAACAAGTATGAAAAACTAGACAAAGTGTAAAACAAATTTGAGAAATAAGATGATGGATAGGATAGCTAGAGGCTTTTTCTCCGCACATGACATGTATGCAAATAACTTGATTTCCAGTTACTACTTCATTGAATTACGAATGACAATGCTCCAAATTAACCGTGACATCACTAGTTAACTCTCAGATTTTCCTTGTTTTATTGGATTTGATGACATAATTCGACAACCCAAAACATTCTTCTAAAGTTCCCTACATGACATCATAATAGAGATACAATCAATGATCATTACGTTTAATGAAAATCATAAGCATTGACAAAGCACTTGCAACTATGACATCATGTCACTCATGCTAGGAATTGAACTTAACGCGATCGTTTATAAGCGACCTTCATTACATGTGAATATAAGTTTGTAACGATTATGTGAAACTTCCTTATATTATAGCAACGAATTTATGCATGCCAATTAAGTGTCGACCCTTAATTAACAAATACAAATAAGTTATCAATCAAATAGTTAAGCCAATTGCATTCACGATTCAAGAATTCATAACTGGAATTTATCAAATTATATTACACACATAATCATGGCTTTGAAATCACCCCTAACCAAGAGGGGTTTAGCCACTCATATTTACAACAAAACGAAAGGAAATGAATTTAAACATTAGAAACAAAAGAAAGAAAACACCTAAATGCTCCAACGATCCAAGTTGGACAGCAAGCACGTCCAAGCACTTTCCTTCCCTTCCTTTGCTACGGCACAAGGTGTTGGTGAGTGTTTGAAGATTTGTTTGTATGGAGGAATGGCTGAATGTGTTTACGTTGGATGGAGGTCACGGCAAGGAAAGGGAAATGAAGGTGCATGAAATTGTGTTTTTGTTGTGGGAATGTGTAGAATGGTTAAGAAGAAAAGACTCCGCCTTGTGGCAGAATGTGTCTTCCTCCCTTCTCCCTAAACTATCCCCTGAATGTGTCTTTGGATGGATATATTTATAGGCTAGGGAGAGGATGTAGTGGTAGGTGAATGTGTTGGGTGGTTGAAATGAGTGGATGTGTTGGGTGAAATGAGTGGATGTAGTGGTAGGTGAATGTGTTGGGTGGTTGTAATGAGTGGATGTGTTGGGTGAAATGAGTGTGCTAAAATGGTTATTTATAGGGAAAGGATGATGCACAAACTTCAAATTTCGTCCATTCCTTTTGCTCCAAGCATATGTTATCCATTCCATGCCCAAAAATGCTCCAAAATGCACTTCTTTGCCACATTAACCCTTTGGACCTACAAACACACGAAAATAGCTTAAAATACTAAAATAACCTTGAACTAACAACATAAATGCCAAGAAACAAGCTAACTAAGTCGCATAAATATGCTCCTATCAAATTCCCCCACACTTAGCCTTTGCTAGTCCTCGAGCAAAACAAAACAAACAAAATAAAACAAAACAAAACACAACCTAGAGCTTCCAACAATTGCCTCAGGGATTTTTAATGAAACATGATGTGTTAAAAATCATCATTCCCACAAATTTTGGTCATCCTTACACTTGAGCACATACTTAATCACAGTCACCACTTACTAGTTCACAATTAACCAATTAAAACGATGTTTTGAATGTAGTAACATGCCTTAGAGAATTTGCTCAATTCCTTACAAGATACTCTCTATTTTCACACACATTTTTTGACTACACACCCTACACTAGTATATGTGAGAAGATTGATGTAAACACGAAAGATAAGGACTCACATATGTTATAACAAAGAAAGCAATTTTCTGGAGTTATTAAGCATGTTTAGATATGATTTCATGAATGGAATGCTACTACTTAGATGCGAGAACCAGTGACACCATATGCTCATACCAATTTCGAACTCCACAAATTGAAACACACAACACTCAAGATTGAAGTCAAGGGTTGTAACAGGGCTTGGGGGTAATGGCTAACAAAGAAAGGATAGGGATAACAAACGTTCTTAAAGCGATAGCAAGCAAAGCAATGAAATAGACACTTGGAAATCACTTTAGAATGCAGAATCAACTTTTAATTACAAAGGGAAGATTTATGCAACACTTAGGGCCGAATTCAATGTTTTGAACCCTTTCTTTAACAAACAACACTTTAGAGCTCTTTTTCATACTTTTTTTTTCAATTCTTTTTTTTTCTTTTCTACCCATGCCTTATTAAGGACTTTGGCGCATGCACACACACAAGAATCACTTCCCCCACACTTGTTTCTGCAATACATTAATAAAAAAGGAGTTCATTTTAAGTCATGCTTGACTATGCTTCAAGAACAAGGGTATGGATGGTCCTAACACTAGGCTAGGTAAGGATAGTGTGGGTTAACAAAGAACATAGGCTTAACAAGGCTCAACGGGGTTAAACTTAAACACATAATGAAATAGGGGCACAGCAATTTGGCTTTGGTGGTCACTACACAACTTCATCTTGAATATGTTTTATGCAAATCAATAGCATGCTTTGATGAAATAGGCATGAGTTCTAGCATTTGGAACTAAATGATGAAACGCCTTCTAAGTAGCAACCAAGCAAAGAATAATGAGATCATG